TAGCCCCTCCAGGCCCGGGGAGCTGCTCTAAGGTGTCCCCTTAAGGAGCCTTCTCTTCTCCAGGCTGAACCAGCCCAGCTCTCTCAGCCTGGCTCCAGAGCAGAGCTGCTCCAGCCCTCACAGCATCTCTGTGGCCTACTCTGGACTCACTCCAACAGCTCCACGTCCCTCTTGTGTTGTTGCCCCAGACCTGGATCAGGACTGCAGGGGGGGTCTCACCAGAGGAAGTGGAGTGCTGGGCTCCCTCACTCACCACCAACAGGAGCCCAGCACGGGACCTGAGGGATGTACTCTTACATCTGCCTCACAACAAGGTGTTACAGCCAATGACAGCTCAGCAGCCCATCAGACTCCCTTTCAACTCAGCAAGGGGCTGAACTGGTCCCTAGGAATGGTATGCATATGTTGCTAAGTTAGCCATGAGAGCCATCCCAACAAGAGGTCATTGAGAGAGAGGACTGGTGTTAACTCCAGACATCAGTGTGCTCTACAGCCTTTTTTTTTCCTGCTCCAAAACATCACCCATCAGAATTAAGCTTAGATCAGGCTAAATGCATTAACAACACCTAAACGCTGGACTTGAGGTGATGGAAATGTCTCCGCCAAGTCTGGATCTGTCATTCCTTAAGCAGTGTTATCTAAACACCTTTCCCTGAGGTCTCAGAGCTGTGGTGGGGTCAGTGCAGCCGGGAGCAGCTGTACCTGATGTAGTCGTAGAGGTCGTGCCACTTCTCGCCCTTCGGCACAGGGAAAGCCATCTCCCGCGGCATGGGCGCGACCCCGCAGCACGACAGCTCGGCTTGACGGGCCTCAGAGAAGGTCACGCCTGGAGGGAAAGGGACAGAGAAAGAGGGTCAGGTCTCCACGGGCTGTGGAGCTGCAATCACGTTTCCTGTGAAATGTCACAAACCGCTTCCCTCTTTGAGAACACCTGAAAAGCAAAGAGTACAAACCTGAGGTGTGCAACAGCACACCTTTGCACAGGATATTCCTGAAACTATCAACCTCTAAGGAACATCCCACAGCACAAACCCTTGACTGGCACAGGGTGCCCAGAGAAGCTGTGGCTGCCCCATCCCTGGCAGTGTTCAAGGCCAGGTTGGACAAAGGGGCTTGGAGCAACCTGGTCTAGTGGAAGGTGTCCCTGCCTGTGGCAGGGGGTTGGGACTGGATAAGCTTTATGGTGCATTCCAACCCAAACCAGTCTGGGATTGTAATCCCCAGGCCCAAGATTCCCCAGGTTCACTATTCAGTGACTCAGCAATTTCATGTGATTTGTGTTAAGGCTCTTTTCTCATTTGCTTGTTTCCTCTCCTTCATATGTTTGTAAATTCATGCAAGTGTCCAAGATAGAACAAGTTTCAGGAAACCAAAAGCAGCATCTGGAACTTCCTCCTCACTGATGGAGTCAGTAAGTTCGGGCAGATGGCCAGTGCAAATAAAGAAAGGCAAAACCAAAGGTTTTGACTGAAGTATCTCTGCCACACTGAGCAGGGGGGTCAAAAAAGCAGGTTGGAAGATTTCTGAGGCAAAAGAACCCACAGGCTCTTCTAGCAGATAAAAGCACAGGCCTTGGAGAAGTGAGGCTTAGCAACACCTTTAATTTTTTAGCCCTGAAAAAGAATTCTAACCTCAGTAAGATATTTAACTTTACTCTTATTGTTCACTTCTACAGCTGGAAAATGAGAGGACACTTTCCTCCAGAGGTTGGGAGATTGGATTCACCAGCACACATAGAAACTTAAAGTCATACCAAGTATTTTGCCCTTTCTGCTTCCTACCATAATGGCAGCCAAGTGCTCAGCCAGGGCTAACAGCCCTGCCAGCATCACGCTGCAGAAGCCAGGATGATCCAGGGTTCCATTCAGGCTGGGCTGAGGTCACAGGAGAAATGAGAGGCCACGTTGAGCTCCTCACCTGGGTCAAACACCAAGTCGCTGGTGCAGAGGTTTTTCACCAGCAGGTTGGAGCAGAGCTTGATGCTCTTGAGGTGGCTGTAGTGGCGGTTGAGGTAGAGGGAGAGGATGGAGCAAAGGTCAAGCACGAGGCAGGTCCAGCGCACGTCGGTGGGGGCAGCTCCCACCAGACCTGGGGAGGAGAGCAGCAAGTGGTGAAAGGGAAGAAGATGCTACAGACCTTGGACTTGACAGAGCACAGATGCAAGATTAATGTGGTTAAGTGATAAGTATTCACCAGGGATGACTCCCACCAGGCTTGGCTTGTCCGCACCAGGATGGGAGGTGAGAAAATACACCCCGTAACTTCTTGCTGCAGAGCAGGGACATCCCTCCAGGGAGCTACAGCTCCAACCCCCATCTGCTGAGGGGCTCCTGCTCTTCGCTCTCCTCAAATACATCAAGTCCACATACAAACTCAATGAATTTGGTGGTGGTGTGCACCACAAGCAGCAGCACACACGTTCCTCACCGTGCCTGGGTGTCCTGGCCAAGCCCTCAGCCATTCCACAGACAAAGGGGAACTGCAGCCAGGTGGCCGTGGATTTGAATTCCTTGAAGAGGCTGGAGAAGGAGATGCGAACCACTTGCTTTTCCTGAGGAGACAGACACACAGACAGAGCTTTGGACACGCTGGTGGCTTTGGTGGAGAAATGCTGCAGAGGAGAAGGTGAGTGGCCATGTCTCCTGTCCCTTCCTTGTCTCCAGTCACCAGCAGAGATGCCACGAGGATGGAAACCATTTCCAGCCCAGGATAACCCACCAATGACAACAAAGACCAGACAAGTTTTTCCCCCCAAGACCACCACTACCACCCCCCAACCCTTCCATCAGCCACAACACTAACGATGGTGGTTTAACGAGGCTGCCCAATGTCCTACCTCGGTGGTGACATCCAGGTGGACAATAAAGTGCTTGCGGGGCATGGGCCTGAAGAGCAGGTAGAGGTAGCGCCCGGTCAGCCCCAGCGACTGCGTGCCAGTGCGGGGCAGCTGCAGGTAGCTGCTGCCAGGGACAGAGCCCCGGATCCGGTACACGGGTCCCTTCAGCCTCGTGTCCTGCCCGAACCACAGGGCGATGGGGGGTCAGCGGTGCCCACTGTAGCCAGTCGCCCCACGCCCTGGTGCTGGTGTCCCCGGTGTTACCATGAGCGTGGCCACATCTCCCTCCCTGGTGGATCGCTTCCACTCCTCCACACGGAAGTGCTAGGACAAGGGGTAATGGCTTTAAACTTAAACAGGGGAAGTTTAGGTTAGATCTAAGGAAGAAGTTCTTTACTGTGAGGGTGGTGAGGCACTGGAATAGGTTGCCCAAGGAAGTTGTGAATGCCCCAACCCTGGAGGCGTTCAAGGCTAGGTTGGACAGAGCCTTGGGCAACATAATTTAGTCTGTGGTGTCCCTGCTCATGGCTGGGGGGTTGGAACTAGATGATCTTAAGGTCCTTTCCAACCCTAACTATTCTATGATTCTATGACAAAGAAAAATATTTCCGTGGTTCTTCAACCAGGGGTCCCCAAACTCACAAGTCCCCAAAGAGCAGCTGCTGTCTGCAAGTAGGTGCCAGTCAGCCAAATGTTTAACTGTTATCTATTAAAATTCCAAGCTAATTTTGCAGCCCAACATAGTACAAGGTCTGGGATGCACACTTAGCAGCTTTTCTCCAGAGCTAATTTGTCATACATAAATTAAACCACCTCCTTTTACAATTACTGTTTGTGGAGTTAATTAGCTTTGCCAGCATAGCTTTGCTAATCGGCTTGCCTTTGCTTAATGGGCCTCTGGAATGTGGTAGCACATTTGCACTACATTTGAGTTTATGCTGTTTTAGCATTTTGATGTTCTTCAGGATTACTTAAAATTGACGGGTTCAAACTTCAGGTCAAGCTGAGGCTTTAAGCATATGTATCAGATGTTAGTCTTTTTAGTTGCTTCGACTTGCAGCAACAACTAAAGAACTGAGAAATAACAGTTTCAGAGTAGCTTCTGTGTCTGCTGCTGTTTCCTTTTTTCTTCTCAATGTCTGCTTTAAAAACAATCCTTAGGTCATTCCTAACGACATGGTCCTGTAGCCATTCTTTCATTAGGACTGTGGGAGTCATCTGTCAAGATGTCCTGTATCTGCAAACAACTGCTAAATGTTTGGAGAAAACAGGAGAAATTCATAGTCAGCACCTGGGCATGGGGTTTAAAATTGCTTTCTAACTGTCTGATCAGATATGAACCAATCATTAATTGAGTAATTAATATAGAAGATCTGGGACCTTTGTAATTTAACTTGAAGAGTTAAACTTCATTTTTGTTCCTGCTAAACAGTTGGGTATTTGGCCAGTGATAATTTATGAAGTATTTTATGAACTCGTGTAAAATAAGCATTTTCCATTTTATGGGTAACTTACTGTGATGTCTTGTTTCTTATACAAAAGAATGTATTTTTAAGGAAAAAAAATTGTTATTGCTACATGTAAAATACCATCTGCGTCTAGCTTGCTCCTAACAGACCTGTTCTGTAATATTCTTGGTCCTTTGTTCATCAGACTCAGCTTTCTCCTTTTTCTTTCAAAGTGACTTTTCAGCATTGTTAAGAGACTTTTTTAATAGTAATATTTTATAGGGCAGAGAAATTGCAATGTCTGTGAAACTGATGTGATTCTAAAGTAACTGGTTTTGGGGCTTTTTTTCTTCAGTCTTACGATAATGGCCTGGCACAGGGAGCTGGACTAGAATCTCATGGTAAGAATGTTGAAATGTTTTTAAAGACTGGGATTGGAAACGCTATAAGAGGTGCAGGGCATGTCATACCTGTCCTTCTTTTCTGATTTAAGGAAGTGTGATGAGGAACAAATCCAAAACATGCCTCAGAATATCATCTGTTTTCTGTCTTCTTCCTTTAGTTCCAGCTTAATATCAGACCAGATAGGCTTTTAATATACCAACTCCATTAATCTTACCTCATGAATGTTTTATTGAAAGGTGTTGGCTCTGGTTTTCATCTCTTGCTGACAGATGAAACTTTTTCCACATGTACCATTGCTACACTGTGGATTTATCTGGAGGAAATTTTGTGCAATGCACCTGATAATCTCCAATTGCAGCAGTTCTTAGTAAAACCTAGAAACATTTCCTCTGATAGATTACAGCATATATTGGCGGCTCAAATCTTGAAGCAGCAGTTAGTTGTTGCAAAGAGTTGTGAAGTTGTGAAGACAGGAATTCCCAAAAGACTCATATTTTTAAGCAGAATGTTTCTTTGCCATGAAGTAGTGGTCTGGTTGTGACAGAAGCTATTTACTTTTATGTGACTGATACACAATCTGTCAAATGTTTGCTAATTTTATTCTTAGCTGGTATTTCTTCCTACAGGATGGATAAAGTTGAAATAAATAAACTACACCCCTGTGTATTTAAGAAATCAGTTAATTAAACTATCGTAGAATGCTAGTGATAACAGATAACATTACTTCCGCATCCTTCTCCTGCTGCATTTCGTCATCAGAATGTAAATAATATTAGAGTTGTGGGGTCTTCTAGCATCATGATAGCGTAAGGATCTCTGGGCCCCAGTCTTCTACCAATGGCTTTCTTACAGTCTTTCCCAGGCTGTAATTTTGTCATATCAGGCAATATACTCAGAATGGGTTTTGATGGGCTTTAAAAAGTGATTGCTGTAGTATTTTTTTCTTCTTGTGCCCCTCCCCCCTTGGTTTTTTATTTGGCTTTCTGCTCATCAGACACTTGTGTCTGTATCATGTGGGGATTGTGTCTGAGACTGCTTTTGGCACATCTGCTTCATTCTGATTGCTGGCATCCCAATAGCTTTCTTTTTTAAGAAGAAATGTTCTTTTTTATGAAGAAATGTTTTCTGCATTTTACTTATTTCTGGATTGGCGTGTAATATAAATTGTTCAGCACTGAGAGGCAATCCAGCTTTAAGAAAATAAACACATTGCTAGAGTTGAATTGGGGCTGGGATCCCCTTTGACATATATTCTGAACTAAAGTAGTTTTATTTCTTTGGAGTTTAGACTAAACTCTTTCATATTTTTGAAAATCCATTGATGCAATTGATACCACCCTAGTTAAAGTTCTGACTGAGATCATACAGGCTTCAGTTGAAAATCTGGGTACCAAAACATTGCAAAACCAACTCTGTCTTCACAGGTGGCTCTACATTTTGTGGCATTGCATCACTGTGTTTGATGGGTAAACTGGAAGAAGTTTTTTCAGAAAAAGAACTGAACAGAATAAGAAGATGGTGTATAATGAGACAACAGAATGGCTACCATGGACGACCCAACAAACCTGTAGACACTTGCTATTCATTTTGGGTGGGAGCAACATTGAAGGTAATGTACAGAACAGCTACAGGATAGTTATTGTCTTGATTTCTTTAAGCATCTTATCTTTGCTTGAAATAGGTACATATTTGGCCCAAGTGTTTGAATATGCACAGATCACTATAAAGGTCTTTCATATTGCAAAAATGCAGGATATAGAGCTTTACCAGATTAGTGCTATCTCTGCTACCACTGCTTATCTCATAAATAGGCACTATATTTTAGTATTAAAAATAGACTAAGATTTAGTATATTACTGTAATGGTCTCATTTCTTTTCAGCTCTTGAACATATTCCAATACACAAATTTTGAGAAAAACCGAAATTACATCCTGTCAACTCAAGACCGCCTTGTCGGGGGATTTGCCAAGTGGCCAGATAGCCATCCAGGTAAACTTGCTTTTCAGACTTATGGTGTGTTCTAACCTACAAGCACACTCCAGCAGTGAGACACTGGAGAAGAGTAAAGGAAGTTTTCTCCTCAGTCTTCTTCCAAAAAATGAAAAAAACCCTAAACCAGGCAAAATATAATGAGATTTTCATGATGTAAGTGGGAAGAAGGAGGCAGTTTTTTCTTGTTCACCCACAGAGCAAGTGAGCTGTTGTTTAGATTATTGCTAGGAGTGTCACTGTCTATTTAGAGCTGGACAAGCTCTTCCATATGTGTTTAACTGTTCTAGCTAAAGGAAAGATGCAGTTGGGTACCTTTGTAAATTGTCTGAGTAAAATACTTCAAAACTATTTTTACTTAATAAATGAATCCTTTAAGCTTACTCAGAAGTCATTGATGTATGTAAAAACAGTCCAAGTTTACGTAGTGACGTTACGATTTACAGACTGTAGTTACACATATCAATTATATGTAGTATACAAGTTAATATCCTTTAGAAATACATAATTTAAAGTTGTGAAAAACTTGAAAAGATGCTAAAATCTTCTAATTTGAAATAGTTTTAAAAGATGCTAGAATTCAGTGGAAGTACTGCAAACTTGGGGGAAAAAAGCCCAGATGAACAAACAGAAACCCAACCCTGTGCCCAGTGGTATTTTGTACAGAAAGGTAAAGAGTCTGTAAGCTGACCAATGGTAAAAATGGATGAGTCTGTTCAGAATCTGTGCCCTGATATTTCTCCTTTCATAATTTCATTTTGAACACAGTTGAGAATTCTTCAAGGTGGATCTACACTAAAAACACAGTACTTGTGATAGATTTGCCCACACACACTGCCCTGAAAACCATCTTAGGATTCCTTAGCTGTATTTACTCTGCATTATATACATCAGTATAGTATCACTTGGAGGAAATATTTCTGTTTATCCTGATGAACCATTTACTTAGTGAGCTAGGGATTAAAAAACCTATTCAAAACCCCAGTCATGTGCAGAGTTCCTTAACCTGTCTTTTAGCATAGTTGTGATGATTTGAGGTAAGATTTGAGAAAGGCAAGATCTAATAATAAAGCTGCTTTCTTCTGATTTGTGGTGTTCCAGCCTGAACACCACTGTTTCTTATGAAGCATGCTTTTGCTGTCTCTTCTGTTATGATCGTGAGTTTATTGCAGCATTCTTTCCTCATGCAGATAGTGACATAAGTCTGTTCTCATGTTTTGAAGGAAGGAAAAAAAATTAATGCAGTTCTAGTGTGAAGAATTACTGTAATGCAGCATTGCAAAGATTCTTTCTGTGGAACTGTGATTTTATTGTCATATATACACAGCTCAGCTTTGTAGAAGCTCAGTCTAGTATCTGAAAGGGAAGCTGTCTTTTGGTTGTTGTATGATTCCGCAATGAAGATTTCGTAGCTCACTAACATGAAACATCTGTGCAGCTCAGTTGTTCATTTTCTCCTAGGAAACTTACGAGGCTGCGTTTTGGATTTGCAACCAAAAAAAATCTTGGTATCACAAGGATGTTTTAGCTGTTGTGGAACAGTGCTTACACAGCATCAAGGCCTTTTCTGTTTCCTGTGCTGCCCTGCCAGTGATCAGGCTGGGGGGCACCAGAAGTTGGGACAGGCCACAGCCAGGACAGCTGACCCCAGCTGTCCATAGGGAACCCCATACCACGTGGCATTGTGCTCAGCAATAAAAGCTGGGAGAAGGAGGAAGGGGGAAGGAAGATGTTTGGAGTTACAGTATTTGTCTTCTCATCTAATCATTATATGTGATGGAGCCCTGCTTTCTGAGAAGTGGCTAAACTCCTGCCTGCTGATTCATAGGGAGTGAATTCCTCGGTTTGCTTTGCTTGCAGCTGCAGGTTTTCCCTTCCATATTATTATTTTGACCTACTAATTTTCTCACTTTTACTCTCCCTTTTCTCTTCTCACACTGGAGCTGGAGGAAGTGAGTGAGCAGCTGTGCAGTGCTCGGCTACCTTCCAGGGTTAATCCACAACATTTCGCTAGTAT